TGCACTTATAATGCACTAGCCTCCATGTAGCAGTTCATGTTCAAAGCGCACATTCAAATGTCACTCTGGAAAGCTTTTTTGAACAGATGTGTCTTTAGTTTTGCTTTGAGTGACTGAAATGTTGAGGAAAGTCTAATCTCAAGTTGAAGATCATTCCATAACTTTGGGCAGCCACACTGAAAGTCTTAAGTCCATAGCTGGAAAGTCTATGCTGAGGAACAGTAGCAGGTGCTGATTTGCAGTTCGAAGAGTCCTTGGTGGGTTATGAAGCTGGAGCAGAGTAGAGAGATAATAACTAGAAGACTGTGAGCAACATTGCTTTCACTATTGATGTAGGTACCGGTATGCCTTTGTGTGATTGCAAACTGTCAGCATGGCATTGTCCAACTTTCTAAACAATGTGATATAACCGTTGTTATATTTAGTGGACAACTATGTAAGTTCATAAGTGAGGGAGATTGTGCACACTGATTTCGGAGAAATGACCCCTAGATGAACCCACTATCATTTTGTGAAACAACTGTAAAAAACCATACTACCTTTGTTTAATTGTCCATCCTGATAAGCTGTGATACACTTCTCGCTTGATGTATTACTGTGTTAAATGGTTCACAGGTTTTGACTCATTATCACATGGTTACAAAACTCCTCATAGTAATTGATTGTTTCCAGTGTGCTACAATCTTCCAGACCCGTCAAGATCCAGGAAGAATAGGTCTTCAGCAACCCATGCTTGCCTTAAAAGGTGACTATGCTTGTTGTAAGAGGCGACTACCGGGATTGGGTGGTCAGACTCGCTGACTTGGTTGATGCATGTCATCGTATCCCAATTGCGTGGATCGATGCTCATAATGTTAATCACATGATTGTCTGGTACATACTCGATTATTTACAGACCGTATTCATATAGCTTGAATATTGCTTAGTGGGGGGTAAAACAACAAACAAAAATCTTATCTGTGAGGTTAATGAAGGTGCCATGGAATGGGATCGAGCTTGCATCGTAATGTTGTCTTCACACCGATCACTTCGAATGTCAAACTACAGACAAGACCTGTTGAAGACAGTTTCTGTTACAATGCATGTTTTGTTTATGATGCCGGATTCTTTCAAATTGAAAACCACTCCCTGCTTTCACAAGTAGGACAGGGGTGGTCGGCCGGCCTAGTGGTTAAAGCGTTCGCTTGTCACGCCGAAGACCCGGGTTCGATTCCCGACATGGGTACTATGTGTGAAGCCCATTTCTGGTGTCCCCCACCGTGATATTGCTGGAATATTGCTAAAAGCGGCGTAAAACCATACTCACTCACTCACTCACAAGTAGGTCATCTGTCATCACAATTGCTGCTCTCAAGAATGAACAGGTATTATGATGAAGCTATTGATTGATGACATGACCTTAGGGCACAGCTGTTCCCTGAGTCTGATGATGTTATCTGCTGTACGACAACAGAGCCACATGGCTTGGAGAACTCTTGACAACACATGAACCCCAAGGGCAGATCCAGCACTATTTTAAAAGGGAAGGATCCAAAATATCAAAATCCTCTCTCAGATAATTTTACTGCCTACAACATACTACATTTGTTTTTCAAATGGGGGATGGGTGGTCCAGAACCCCTGGATCTGCCTATGAAGCGGAAGATGTGACGAGTCTTCTGTGTGAATCAGCTATAGATGGGCAAGTGACTTAGTTCAAATGTGCCTCTGTTCACCCAGTGGGGAATGGGTACCCGATATGAGAGGTGGATTGAAAACCTTATAGCGCCCCAGGGCAGTTTGGGTTGTATACTCCCCAGGGAGTTGAGAATGATAACTGAATGCAAACAGATCCACTGGTTGGGGAACAAATAAAACTGAATTTGAGCAGATACTAGTGCCTGGATACCAGTGGTATATAAATATATATATATATACTGCTTAACTTTCCATATTTTGTCATAGGAATACCATGGATACGGAGATGTTTCATTGTATTGCATTGTGGTAAACAACAATCGAACAATCAAATCTTGTTCTTCCATTTTGAAATGCATTGTATTAGAGCATGTGCAAGATTTTCAAACTCTTCAGATCCTGACATGACTGAATACCCCTGTTGTGTGGTAACTCTCTGCTCCTCCTCATTATCATAATCAATCGTTTTCCCTTAAGCATGTTTGGCGAACTTTCTAAAGAAACCTTCATGTTTGCATGACCGGATGATAGAAGAAATCAAATTCAAGCATCTCCCAAAATCTCTCTCGGACACACGATGCACAAATAACATTGAATAATTGCCGGAAATCTTTAAACAAAATATTCCGACTTCGAGATGGCTGAAGCTGTGGGTGCAACTGCAGGAGTAGGGTCGGTCATTGAGAGTGATCCTGACTGACAGGTTATAAACCAGCATGGGTGTATTTGTTACGGTATATGTTCAAGGTCAGTTTGTTATTCAGTGAGTGTACAGCTCCGCCAAGTTGTGTTGACTTATATCAACTGGTGGGTAAATATGAGGAAAGTGACTAACACATGTATACACTGACGGTTTCTGGCTGTGCGACAATGATTCAGTGATGTGTGATACTGGTTGGGGCTGGGGCTGGGGCTGCTGAGGTTGTAGCACTTGCTTTTGACATGTTGGATGTGTATTTCTTCTTAGAATCTCAAGCAGCACACTAATGTCATATTGATATGGAATATAACTGGGCTCAATGTAGCTATATAAAACATGCACTGTGCAACCTATTTATAAAAATAGTAGCAAGTTAAGTCTACATGCAAGGGCTTGTAAAAGAATTTCAAGTTTTTATCAGACTAACCCTTTCTTGTCCACACGACAACATTCTGTGAAACCCTCAATACATGTTTATTTGCCATACTACATCATTGATTACGCTGGGTAAATGTGAGGGTTTGTATTTGAGAATCAGGGTATAACATCATCCAAGAGAGTAGAATCCCGGTTCGCCCCGATTATGTTTCTAGGTTTGTCAGCACCATACCCGTGCTCATGGGTTTCACCGAAGTGGTAAACGTCTAAGACCTGCATCACTTTGGGCTTTCCTCCCACATTAAGCTGACACGCCGTGATAAAACTGGAATACTGTTAAAAGCGGCGTTAAACCAAACTCACTCACTCACTCACTGATGGGGTCCTGTACTAACCCCAAATATGGGTTGATTCATGCAAGGTAATTGTGTTGGTAAGGGCACACGGTTTTTTAAATATAGTTTACGTTTCCCCCAACTCCAAAAAATTGATATGTGAATAAAAAATTAAAAAGCAGTATTTTTAAATTCTGCTGACCTGAAATAATGAAAATGTATAAAAACTCTCATTTACAGTCACTATTAATATTAATAACAAATTTCAAATGCTATAATTAAAACTTGTTTTCAATATGAATAAATTACTTAAAATAGTATAATTTAAACCTGTTGAAACTTTATCTTAACATGCTTAAGAACTCTCTCCCCCACTTTAATTTTTTCCTTTTTTTCGAACATTTTGAGGAAATGGCATTGAACATTTTCAGAGCGACTCCTGTGGGATGTTTGACAAGGTGATGATGATGTGGACCGCATGTCTATTTTAGTGCTGCTGTAGGTTCAGTCAATACCGGTGTCCTTACTCTGTAATGAAAGTGTTTCAACAAGGTCAGTCATCAATAACGGTATAATGTCACAGTGGCCTGTAATGGCGCTTGACCATATCATACAGTGGTTTATAGCATATGTATTGATCTACACTCTCAGTCTATAGCAACAGTCCTGTACTGGGCAGGGCAGGTGTCAGTGAAGATAGCAGAAACATTGATCTTTATCATCAGGCTCCAGTGACAGTCCATCATTTGGGACATTTGAGACAAGTCATGATGATATGATCTGTCAGTTTTGACTCTGGGATATCCAACTGTTCTATAATTTAAACCAACCTGAATGTTAAGTCGATATAGTGAGTGTTGGTATTAAAAGTTGAACAAAACACAAAATCATTTCTAAAACTCACCGAAAGGAGCGATATTTTAGGTTTGGTTGGTTGGTTGGTTTGTTGTTTGACACCATACTCAGCAATATTCCAGCTATTTGACGGCAGTCTGTAAATAATCGAGTCTGGACCTGACAATCCAGTGATTAATATCATGAGCATCAATCCACGCAATTGGCATCGATGACATGCATCAACCAAGACAGCGAGCCTGACCACCCGATCCCATTAGTGGCCTCTTTTATGACGAGCATAGTCGCCTGTTACGGCAAGCATGGCTTGCGGAAGACCTTAGTAATTCTACCCTAGATCTTCATGGGTCCGATATTTAAGGGACATTCCGAACATGTTGAGAGTGGTTTTCCAAATCTGAGCTGGAAATTATCAATTTCTTTCAATGAAACTTCAGAGAGCTCTTCAAACATGTTCTGTGTCAAAAATACACTGTTGTCCAGACTGTCGCACATAGCAGCTGTCTCCTTCGCACTCTAATGCCATGTGCTTATTGTCACGTGATACAACCTTGATCCCTGCCTCTGTGGTCTAGTGATAGTGCGTCCTCCTGGACAGTGGAAGGTTCAGTGTTCGATTCCCGGCCGCGTCACACCAAAAGAAGTTAAAAGATGGTACTTGTTGTTACCCTGTCTGGCGTTCGGCATTAAGGGGCTAAAACAAGGACTGGCCGGCTCGGTGTCCGTGTACTGTGTCTGTTAAACTGTGGCATGGTATCTCAGTGGGCTAGTACTATAAATCGTCATCAGCTTGGACTAGTACTAGCAGACACACACACACACACACACACACACACACACACACACACATGTGCATGTACGTCACTATGTAAATGCAATAAGCCTATATGTGAAATCAAACCCCATTTCACCTCACCAAGCTTGGTCCCTGCCTCCTGCAGGTCTTACAATAGCGACCAAACCTATAAGACGTCCTTTACCCCTTCCATAGACACTGCTCGGCTTTCTGCTCTATTAATCAGTCTCTGATCTGTTGTAAGCTGGCAATGGTATACATTATGCTGACTCTGGCCAGTAAGTAGGTCGTGCAAACAGGACAGGTAGGGCAAGATCCCATCTCCGCAACACAAGTCAAGCGTTGCTGCTGCCAGTGTCTCCAGCCCCCAGGTAGGGATGCTTTCAATGAACTAGTTACTAATGACACAGATGTCATCTTTCACAGTGCTAAACATGACGTAGTCCTGCGCCATGACTGTGGAATATATTTGTTTTATGGAAAAAAATGTATATATGTAATATAGTTATTGGAACAGTTATTTAGGATGAAATGCAAAATTTTACTGTCAAATGCTGGGCTGGCTATCGGACGCCGGTTGACATCGCCAGTGGTAAAAAATGTGAGATCTTCGACTCCGTGTATAAGACGACTCCCCTGCTTAACCCCCTCATTTTAGGTACAAAAAACTCGCCTATTACACTCGCGATATACGGTACAAAAGCAAGTCTAGCCAGCTCTAGCTAGCTCTATTCCAATGAAATCAGCATCGGGAAAATTATTTGTTGAATTTTAGAGTCGAGAAGGGTATTGTGTAATATAAGATTTCATAGACTAAATGTTAGTCTAGACATGATGTTAATTTGATATTGTTGTTTGTGCAGCGTGCATCATGTCCCTTCATCAGTACACTATCCTACCCAAATTCACGCTTAACATCCATGTATATTATAAATCTTATTCCTTGCCAGATTATTAGAACTCCATTCAGCGATAAACCGTTGATTATGCAATGAGAAGCGTTATGTGCAAATAAACAACGAACAACAATACAATCATGTCTGTGTAAAACTCTCAGTATTAAAAGTGTACATAAATTTTGGGAGCCATGCGTTACCGCGCGTAATAACCGAAGTAGCGCTTTATCGAAGAGCGCAATAGCGAGCGATCACTGTACCTCGCATGTTTCGCTTATCAAGCATCCTTTTTAAAATTTTCTACTCCATATCCACTTCATCAAATTTACCTCACCTTTCACCATAATATTTATTCATCTTCTCTTTACATATCTCTTCACAAAACCACTTTAAATATTCATTCATCTTAATTCCTTCCATCAACCTCGTAGCTCGTAATTTGTAGCTTATCCAACTTCCGTTTTTTTTAACCAGTCAGTTTTGTATTCTCCTACCAAAAAGTTCCTGCTCAAAATTTATGTCTTTTAGTTTTAAAATATTACCACTTTTCTTGTACATCTAAATAAGGCTGTTCCATCGTTTTATTGGCCCTGTTGCTGTTGCGGCCTTCTCACCAACTTTACCCCCCAACTCATAGGGAGCAGCCACATTCATAATACGGGATACTCTGGGTCGCTATGACCCCAGGACCGGTAGATCCCAGGGATGACCAAATATTTTGGTCAGCTTACATTACAAGAATAGACAACATGATTGTTTTTGTATAGTTCTCTACCATATATACTACTCTTAAGAAGTTGAAAAACACCCAATCTTTTCATATTACTATAGTTTATCAGTCATGTCATGTCTTAAATCCTTTTGAGTAGTATATCTTGCTTATCATTGAAATTAGTGGATATGGTTCTGGATAAGGGGGTGTGGAGCCAACTCATTGAGGGTGTTCAACCCATAGATAACTTAGTCGTTAAAAGAGTGGCTTACCCAGGACCCTGCCTTGTTGTCACCCATTCTGTAGTTGACGCACATGGGGTGTGCCCATAACATAGCTAGAATATTGCACTTTTGTAGCATCATGCATGCGTGCATGTGCGTACTGATCCTGCACCGCACTCAGGTTCAGTATTTTGACTCAGAGCGGACCAATCCTTGTTTTATTCCCTTAATACTGAGCACCAGGCAGGGCAACAACAAGTACCATCATTTTGTGTGTTTTGGTATGATGTGGTATGATGTGGCTGGGGTTCGAACCACGACCTGTTTTCTGGGCAGATGCTCTATCCACTAGACCATGAAGGCAGTCCAGGTAAAAGTGTCACACTTCCACTCACTGACACACGGGATGAAGAGCAAATGATTGGCCGGTAGACTAATTTCTAGTCTCTGAAATGAAATATTTTACAGAAAAAAAACAGTTGATAACTTATGGTTATAAAATATAATCAAAAAGAGCCCAGAATCTTCATTTTCAGATACTGCAGTTATCTAGACTTGATAAATATTATAGACTTGCACGGGGGTATTGGATATATTTGTTTCAGGGTCAGTATGGCAGACTAATGAGCCAGGTTAGATGCCCAGTGTGCATACCCCTTGCATTCTTGTGGCTGCATGTTTTTGTACCAATACAGATAAAACTTACAGGTTAATGGAAAGTGCACATGTACTGTGAGACAAATGTGGCTGTGTGGTAACAGCTCTGTCTGTGTACAGTGATTGTAGGGCACATTTGGAAATGCCCTTCGGCAAATGTCTAATGTGAATCGTGTATTGACCGATGTTTCGGGGAGGACAGCTATTCATCGTGTTGACCAAAGAAGAGCTAGGATTTGCAGGAGATATATTTGCCATACAAATAATGTCATTCAATATATGTCTTCTCGTTGAAATAGTACTGAAAAGGATGAATTGAAAAAAGAATCACAAATAATCCTGGCTACGTGGATATTGTCATGTAAAAGGTTCCATTTGAGATTAAGCATGTTATGCTAATGGCATGTATCTCTTTTGTTGCATATGAAAGATTTGTGATGTCATGGAAAATTTTTTGAAGCTAAATGCGAAATGTAAATCTGACTCCAGGCTGACCTTGACCTTCCATGTTATGTTTGACACGTTAATGTTGTGGTGGTGCTTGGTACGAAGAACAACTTTCAAGACCCCATTGTTATTCAGATGGCCATATAGGTTTAGAATTACAGTGCTGTTACCTGACTGGTGACAAAGAGTAACATTGCTCGGGTAGGGGAATTGCAGACACGCCCTGATACCATTTGTACGAATTGTGCAGCGCTTTGCGTGTGATAGGTACTCACGTAAAGCAGCTGTTGTTGTCGAAACTGAAGTGTTTATTGTTTTTGAAATCAAAGTATAATTGTTGAATGAAGCGTTGTTGCTGAAATTGGAGTTTAGTTTTTGAAACAGAAGTTTTGGTTGTTGTTGAAGCTGACTTGTTGAAATTAAAGTAGTTGTTGAAACAAAAGTTTATTGTTGAAATTAAAGTACAATTGTTAAAGCAAAAGTTATTGTTGAAATTAAGGTTCAATTGTTGAAGCAAAAGTTTATTGTTGAAATTAAAGTACAATTGTTAAAGCAAAAGTTATTGTTGAAATTAAAGTACAATTGTTAAAGCAAAAGTTATTGGTGAAATTAAAGTACAATTGTTGAAGCAAAAGTTGATTGGTGAAATTAAAGTACAATTGTTAAAGCAAAAGTTATTGTTGAAATTAAAGTACAATTGTTGAAGCAAACGTTTATTGTTGAAATTAAAGTACAATTGTTAAAGCAAAGGTTTATTGTTGAAATGAAAGTACAATTGTTGAAGCAAAAGTTTATTGTTCAAATTAAAGTACAATTGTTAAAGCAAAAGTTTATTGTTGAAATTCAAGTACAAGTGTTGAAGCAAAAGTTAATGTTGAAATTCAAGTACATTTGTTAAAGCAAAAGTTATTGTTGAAATTCAAGTACAAGTGTTGAAGCAAAAGTTTATTGTTCAAAATTAAAGTACAATTGTTAAAGCAAAAGTGTTTTGTTGAAATTCAAGTACAAGTGTTGAAGCAAAAGTTTATTGTTGAAATTCAAGTACAATTGTTTAAGCAAAAGTTATTGTTGAAATTCAAGTATGAGTGTTTAAGCAAAAGGTTTTTTTTAAATTCAAGTACAATTGTTGAAGCAAAAGTTTTTTGTTGAAAAACAAGTACAAGTGTTGAAGCAAAAGTTTATTGTTGAAATTCAAGTACAATTGTTGAAGCAAATGTAATTGTTGAAATTCAAGTACAATTGTTGAAGCAAAAGTTTTTTGTTGAAATTAAAGTACAATTTTTAAAGCAAAAGTTTTTGTTGAAATTAAAGTACAATTGTTAAAGCAAAAGTTTTTGTTGAAATTCAAGTACAATTGTTAAAGCAAAAGTTATTGTTGAAATTAAAGTACAATTTTTAAAGCAAAAGTTTTTGTTGAAATTAAAGTACAATTGTTGAAGCAAAAGTTTATTGTTGAAATTAAAGTACAATTTTTAAAGCAAAAGTTTTTGTTGAAATTAAAGTACAAGTGTTGAAGCAAAAGTTATTGTTGAAATTAAAGTACAACTGTTGAAACTCACCATGCTTACTGAATGTCCATGGTGAACATGGTGAACACGTCCTTGTGAATGAAGCAACAAACAAGCAACACAAATGTTATGATTAACCATGCACATATAATCCATAGTATCCATATTATACTGTGTGGTTATAAAAACATGTTCATTGTATATCTGGACTTATGTTTGTAATAAATTTTTTTAGTTTTATTCAAAATTTTGTTCAATATTGTTTACGTATATTTCAGCAAAATCGTGTGTGTGTGTGTGTATGTGAGTGTGTGTGTGGGTGTGGGTGTGGGTGTGGGTGTGGGTGTGTCTGTGTCTGTGTCTGTGTGTCTGTGTTTTCACTGGTTTGCTAGTGAGATGGTTTCAGCTCCGTGGTATTTTGGTAACAATAACATGACAAGTCCAAGGAGATCAATCACTGGTGATTAGATAGCCTGTGGTTTATTATTAGTCAAGCTACCAAGCCACGCAGAAATATGCATCCAGTACGCACCAATGTGAAGAATGGACACAATATTGCATCCCTAGGTATGCACAATAATATATATGGCACCAAATTCTTCACAAGAAATATTGAGGTCCTGTAATTAAAGTAATTATCAAATCTTACAGTACAGTACACCATTTCATAACTTTACAGGATATCGACTCTCATATAATTCCTCTTGGGACCCTTGACATTAGTAATTGGGGGTCCCTGGACCCCTAGTGTTGTAAGTCAAGGTGAGACCCTGCTTCCACAGTGTTTGATGGTTACTTGAGAGACCCACAGATTTTTCCACATGAGGGCATTGTGGGACACCCGTCGTTGACGCAAGCTGTTGGGAGATCGCTAGAATATTTCTAAAAGTGGTATAAAATAAAACTGGTATGTATACCATTACAAATGTTTTATTTGACCCCTCACAGTTTCTGAATCCACCTTTGCTTCCTGGCATACTAGGCATGCTAGGTGAGCTTTGTCCTCATTTCGGTGTTCATGTCATATTTATGTTTCTACATCTTCACAGCGTCATATTAACTCTAAGGGGGGCATTTCTTATATATGTTTATGTATACGTGAATGTTCGTTTCTCATAAACTGTAATGGTAGCTGCTACCAAACAAGTTGAACCAGTTTGGTTATATGTAGGTGATGCTTACACATGGCTGGTGAGGCAGTAGGGAGACTTGATGAGAGACTTCTTCTTACGGTTGACGGGTGGTCGGGTAGCCTAGTGGTTAAAGCGTTCGCTCGTCACGCCATAGACCTGGGTTCGATTCCCGACATGGGTACAATGTGTGAAGCCCATTTCTGGTGTCCCCCGCCGTTATATTGCTGGAATATTGCTAAAAGCGGCGTAAAACCAAACTCACTCACCCAATTAGCAATATATATCCTCGAAGGGGGTTAAAGTAGTGGAAAATTATTGTCCCCCTGAGAGGTTATGTAAGACCACGTCTTTCAAAGTATATTTATTTCTTCCACGTTTTTAATCGTAGCGTATATGTTATTTTAATGTTTGGCTAAATTTGTCAGTCGTCACTAACAACTGAAGGGATGATGTGAATCCGACTGAGGTCCATGCAGGTAGCAAAAGTACTGTAAGTCCCCATGGTCCCCAACGCAGTGATCAACCTTCAGTTGGTGGCGATCTATAGCCCGTTTTTATAATGTGTTGTCGAATGATTAAGTTAGTTATCTATTTTAACATATTCTCAAACTAGTTTTACGATGATCTGTGATATGCTAGTTTTTACAGTTTAATATATATTGTTAATGTCAAATTTTGTTTTGTCACGATATGGCTGAAACATTGCCGATATAACGTTAAACTTTAACTCACTCACTCACTCTTACCATGCTTACGGTTGACTAGTGTGAATGTTTGGGTCTCTTTATGTTCGTTATTTTTTCAATTAGGGGATTGATTGTTTTGTTATTTTTCTTAAATATTCTGTCGAGATTTATTTTTGTTACATGTGGCTGCACTGTTACTGTTGCAGATAATGCTGTATTCAGTTGGGACTTTTTCTCCTTCTTGAAAGTAACCCTGTTGTTATTAAGTTTTTCTTCTTCATTATGATTTTCAATGCAATATCACTTCAGTAATAACGTTTACTTTGTCTCTTAAAAAATATTAAGTAAACATTTGACATGGTTTGTGGAAAAGCTTTTGAACAGTATATATTTTTCAAATTCCCCATTGTCCCCAAAATACAGTTTTTTTTACACATTATCATCCAAGTCAAGCGAGGCTTACCAACTTATACTCATAATCACCTCATATGTCCAGCATTGGTTGTTGCTTTGGGCAAATTCAAATCTGAAATCACACGGAACTCCAAAACATTCATTGTGTTATATCCAGTGAATAGCTAGCTACTTGCTATTGTGCAATCAGGGTTATTTCCCTTACTACCAGATATTGTTTGAATAATATGTGCAGACAATATTCTGTCAGTGAGAATGGGTTCATGTAGCTCGTGTTTTTTATGGGTTTTTTTTGTGTTTACAAAGAAAGACCTTCACTATGCGTAAACAGTCCATGAAATGTCGGAGTGATTTAGGTTTAATGCCACTGACAAACCTAGAAACATAATCGGGGAGAACCATGATTCGAACCCTTGATCATCATAAGGTTTCATGTGTGTTCAAGGGAGGCAACTCTGAACGGCACATTGTGGCACCTTAGATGAATAGGCCACTCCCATTAAAGGAAACAATTATTCACTTATAGCAAGTGACTCTAAATATCATTCCCATGACAAGCCATCAACACTTGCCCATAATAAACAAATCATAAACAAGGCTATGTTATGAAGGTGTACTCATGCCGATACATGTTTCAAGCAAAGAATGTGCATCGTAAACAGTAAACATGGTAAACAACATTGAATAGAGTGTTGTAATGGCACATTGATGAATACAGATTCAAATATTATTCATGAAGCCATGGTCAAGCCTACAAGCACACAATTGTACCAAGACTGTTGTGCCTCCTGTGCTTTTGAACAGGGGTCTGGAAAACGTAAAAACATTTGCATTTAGGCCACGCCCCCTTCAAATAGCGTATTTTCATACGACTTTTTACACACATTAGAAGTTGTCACGTAATGTGTTCCCTCGTTATTGAGCGCTTCGGTTATAGCGCGGTAAAGCATGGCTCCCAAAATTTACTAACATTTTTAGTAAACTCAAGTTTTCCAATGACACGATATTTTCCCCCATCTCAGAAAATTTTATCAGCTGATCACTGCGATCACGTAACACCAGAAATACAAGTCAACAAATCCGAACTGAAGAATGCAATTGAATCCTATAATAAAATTTTTTGTTAGCATATTCAAAAGTTTTGAATAAGCTCAGTGAACATTACAATAGTCGCAGTGCTAAGTCTGTTTGTGCAACATGGTGCAATCCTGGCCCTGTTCAAACAATGAGGTGATAGCATCTATGTTAAGGTATGGGACTTCCAGGCCACCTTGTTTAACTGATTCCTAATGATGTTTTCCATGAGACATATTGACACAACAAGTATGAGGCAGTACTAGTTCCCACATAACATTTAGGGGACCCAAGGGCAACAATAAAATAATGATTCGATTTTAATCCAAATGATTCTCTCCTGCAGACTGGCCATGGTTAGCTTGTGTAAAACATCCTGCCCTATTGTCTACATGGCCAGTGTCTTTTCTATTTCAAACTACTGTGAATTAGTCTTGATGATTATGTACATTTATCATTTTTGGTTTCTTGGCAAATCTTGATATTTTGACTAAACTTTATATGATAACAATCTGGAAAAAATTGAAAGGAATTTTTTTACTGCATTGTTTTACTCTAATAATCAGAAGCAAGTTCTGAAGCAACTGCAATTGATAAAGAAGTACAAAACAGCAGTAGAAGGTGAGCAGACTGTATCATTGAGAGGCAATCAGAAGTTAGAGTACTAAGTAAGGATACGATTTAGGGATGAACAACTTCCTTATTACAATTAGGAGCGCTTGCTTGATAATGGTGTTAGAACCTGCTCTAAAACATTGCTCCTAATTGTAATAAAGAAGTTGTTCATCCATAAATCTTATCCTTACTTATATCCATGTCGACTGTCCAGGTGTTTGGGAGAATCTGGCTGGCCAATCATTGAGCTAGATTTTACATGGTGTATGAAAGTGACGATTTTAAATCTTTTCCTTTTCAGAAATAGGAGTCAACAAAGAAGAGAAACATGCTACTATCGGGACTTTTCTGCGTCCTTGTAGCGACATTTACTACAGTTGTACAGGGGTAAGTCACCATTCACTACAGTTGTACAGGGGTAAGTCACCATTCACTACAGTGATACAGGGGTAAGTCACAATTCACTACATGTATACAGGGGTAAGTCGCCATTCACTACAGTAGCACAGGGTAAGTCACCATTCACTACAGTCATACATGGGTAAATCACCATTCACTACAGTTGTAGAGGGTAAATCACCATTCACTACAGTTGTACAGGGGTAAGTCACCATTCACTACAGTTGTACAGGGTAAGTCACCATTCACTACAGTTGTACAGGGTAAGTCAACACTCACTACAGTTGCACATGGGTAAGTCACCATTCACTACAGTTGTACAGGGTAAGTCACCATTCACTACAGTTGTACAGGGTAAGTCACCATTCACTACAGTTGTACAGGGGTAAGTCACCATTCACTACAGTCATACATGGGTAAATCACCATTCACTACAGTCATACATGGGTAAGTCACCATTCACTACAGTTGTAGAGGGTAAATCACCATTCACTACAGTTGTAGAGGGTAAATCACCATTCACTACAGTCATACATGGGTAAGTCACCATTCACTACAGTTGTACAGGGTAAGTCACCATTCACTACAGTTGTACAGGGGTAAGTCACCATTCACTAGTCATACATGGGTAAGTCACCATTCACTACAGTTGTACAGGGGTAAGTCACCATTCCCTACAGTCATACATGGGTAAGTCACCATTCACTATAGTTGTACAGGGTAAGTCGCCATTCACTACAGTTGTAGAGGGGTAAGTTATAACAACATTCGCTGCAGTTGTACAAGTAAAATAACATGTAAGAATTATGGACAGTTATTGTTTTGTTGAAATATTGATACAATGTGTTATCGTTTGATTTCATTTTTGACAACTGAGCCGTGCACATTTATGAACTGATGACCAATACAGTTGTAACATTGTTCACAATACTTGTTTCTCTTGCCTTGCAGGAACTATTTTGTCGTGAGCCCTAATGTATTCCGACCTAATGCAGACTTCAAAGTTGAAGTCACCTACACTGGATCTGGTACAGTGACAGCACAAGCTACCATTGGCATCAATGGCCAGCCTACCCTTGCAGCAAGCACTGAACAGTCCCTGACCAATGGTAGGTCTTATAGCATGGCAGGATAGAAGCCCTGACCAGTGGTAGGTGGAATCTTATAGCATGGCAGGATAGAAGCCCTGACCAGTGGTGGGTGGAGTCTTATAGCATGCTAGGATAGAAGCCCTGACAAATGGTAGGTTAAGTCTTATAGCATGGCAGTATAGAAGCCCTGACCACTGGTGGGTGGAGTCTTATAGCATGGCAGAATAGAAGAAGCCCTGACTGGTGGTAGGTGGAGTTACTGTTGTTTATTACCCTTTCAGCACATCAGGATAGATCATGTCTAATGGTGTTTTATCTCAAATTTCAAATTTATATTGACCAAGTTTAATTATTATGATCTGTTATTTACCTTAATTCGCTGAAGGGATATAACGTAATTTATTTCTGCAGAAGACAAACACGTTATTATTGCAAATGTAGGGATGGTGGATGCGCTGGTGATGCCCTTCATTCCAATTCGCTTTAAATACGGGGTATATAAATAAGCATTGATTTTGAAAGCCCTATGGGCGGTGTCGCTTTATAGATGGTGATATGGGGTACATCATTATCATGATTCTAACAGAATAATTTATGCTTTCAGGTCAAGGTCTTCTGTCTCTGCTGGTGAGTGATATTGTTATGGAACTACAACATACATAAGTTGCCCTGTACACGTACATGTTGTACAGTGCAGTAAACAGGGTACATAAGCATGCTAAGTGAAGGGAATATTTGCTGGTAAAAGTGAAGGGCTGTTCGTGAAGAATTAAAGACTGCAAGCATTTAGATAGTTGTTGCTAGTATGGCAGCTGCTGATGGAGGGACAACTGTATGTATATGATCTACTGTGGCTGTGTGATATTAAAGTTGATAGTGCACAGTCACTACTTCATGCCACATTGTTATAGTTGTGACTCATTGTTGCAAACTGTGGTAGTGTTAGTTGCAGTCATTATCAGAAAAGTCAATCATATGTTAGTGTCACAATGTTCCTAGGTTGGCTTGCATGTGGTGAAATTGTGTAGGATGCTCTGCCAGGCTATTAATGTAAACATCTACGAAAATATGGATGATAATGAGAATGAAATATACCATGAGGATAAAAAGAGGCTATTCAGAGTAGGACATAAGGTGATATGCCATGTAGGATGGAGGACCATGTTATATACCCTATTGAATACCGCAATGTGCCATGTAGGATGGAAGGATGGTTTATTCCCAGGTTGATGTCATATTCCTGATTACCATGGTTATAATCTCAACTCTCTTTAACAGGCCACCCTTATTAATATATTTGTTCGCCTGTGCTCTCAGAGATGACAACCACTAAGAATTTGGCATAATCATTACGATAGACGAAATTCTGCAAAATTAAGTGAAATATATTACGAACTTTGTCCAAAATACATCCCTAGAAATTTTAACTAGATTTTGATAGATTTTGAGGAATTGGGGTGTTAATTGAGACATTTTCAATACATTTTGTAACATTTATTTTCGGTCAGTCATGCTCATGATGATGACTATTGCCTTAATTTCAGTTGGCACCTGTCAACTTTACCTGGCATTTCAAAACTTGGTGCATTGTCATGATTATTCATCAAGATGATTTTGATAAATTCATTAATAGTGTTCATTAATGTTTACTGACCATAACAATTTGAGCTGTGCCATTGACTCTGTAATACAAGTAATGTTGACCCCAGCAATTGCTTTATTCTGTGTGTTTTACTTGTGGTTATGTGACCATGCTCCACCCTGTGTCCTCCCAGATCCCAGCAGAGGTGGCTAAGGGCACCTACCAGCTGACTGTGGTGGGCAAGATGAATGGAGTGGAGGTGTTCCGGAACTCCACAGGCGTACGCTTGGTGATGGAGAACAACCTTGTCTTTATCCAGACCGACAAGGCTTTATACAAGCCTAGCCAGTCAGGTGAGCCATAGAATACTTAGCTCACCTGCCCAGTGTTTGAAATAACAAACAATACCAGGTGGCCATCAAGACCCACAGAATTTAGAAGCTGAAGGCCCCGACTAAACTCTTCAGGCCCTCATTAAAAAATGTAGCTTATTGTGATAAGTGAGTAAGTATGGTTTTACGCCACTTAGCAATATTCCAGCAATATCACGGCGGGGGACACCAGAAATGGGCTTCACACATTGTATCCATGTCAGGAATCGAACCCAGGTTTTCGGCTTGAAAAGCGAATGCTTTAACCACGAGGCCACCTGACCGCCCCTTATTGTGATAAATAAATCGGCATGTTGCTTTACTGCAGGCCATAAGGACACATACAACTTTGAAACTACGGGCCTGACACAAGATCTACCTGCAACAGGCCTACGGGCAGGTGCATATTTCAAACACTGCACCTGGCCCAGTTGTTACTATGTTAGCTGAAGGCATAGTTCCCTCGTGTGTCACAGCCATCTGGGTATAATACCAATCTCAGTAAAATCAGATTTTGGTTCTCGCTACCTCTAAACAGAGATCTGAGGACATCCTATTAGAGGTCATGTCAGAACGACCTTTCATAGGTAGTGAGTCGATGGTGGCCCTGCACATATATCAACATTAACAATGTGCTGTTTCATAGGTAGTGAGTCGATGTTGGCCCTGCACATATAGTAAACATTGTTCTGTTGTTTTATCATTGTCATGATCATTGATGTGATCTGTGAACTTTGATTACACTTTCCAGTCAGGTAATATCACCATGCACGTAATGTAGGCTGCAAACATGTAAAAATGGAACACTAATCTTCCGTGACGTTTTCACTTTAAGGGGACACCATCATTCAGACCAGATACATATTTCTGAGTATGCATCCCATCAGTGTTGCATGTCCATGACTGATAATACTCATCAAATAAAGAAATTCATTCCTTCAGAGTGTATGTCATACTTTAACTTACTTGTGAATTATTTTTCAGTACGTTTTCGTATCGTGTCCTTGGACCAAGAATTGAAGCCAATTGCTCAGACTATTAAAACAGACATCTCAGTTGTGGTGAGTGGCTGCTGGGACCAAAAGAGTTCGTCAGTTGTCATCAAATACAATCCACAGTTGGCTTGATGGTTTAGGCTTAGTAATTAATACCAATGATTTTTAAGTTGAACTTTAATTAAACTATTTAGAAACCGGGCGATGATATATACTTGTTCTTTTTTACAAACATATATTGCAAATTTATAATAGAATACCCCCAAAATATTTTGCATATTATACATCCATCAAGCAGTATGACCTCCCTGTCATCAGGGAACAGCAACATGCCCTCCCTGTCATCAGGGAACAGGACTGGCCCTCCCTGTCATCAGGGAACAGCAACATGCCCTCCCTGTCACCAGGGAACAGCAACATGCCCTCCCTGTCATCAGGGAACAGCAACATGCCCTCCCTGTCACCAGGGAACAGCAACATGCCCTCCCTGTCACCAGGGAACAGCAACATGCCCTCCCTGTCATCAGGGAACAGCAACATGCCCTCCCTGTCATCAGGGAACAGCAACATGCCCTCCCTGTCATCAGGGAACAGCAACATGCCCTCCCTGTCACCAGGGAACAGCAACATGCCCTCCCTGTCACCAGGGAACAGCAACATGCACTCCCTGCTATCAGGGAACAGCAACATGCACTCCCTGTCATCAGGGAACAGCAACATGCCCTCCCTGTCACCAGGGAACAGCAGCATGCTCACCCTGTTGTCAGGGAACAGCAACATGCTAACCCTGTCGTCAGGGAACAGCAGCATGACCTCCCTGTCACCAGGGAACAGCAACATGCCCTCCCTGTCAGGGTACAGCAATATCACTGCATCTGACCACACAATTTGGTCCCTGTTCAACAATCAGAACAATCCTAGAGACTCATTCTAACCTAGGTCCCCATACCCCACATCAAGAAGCTGCAGCTTATTCCACTAGTCCGAAGCCTGAGTCAGTACCATTCGGTTTGGTCTAGTAAGCTTAGAGTCCGGCCACACAGACATGGTAAGTAGTGAATGTGAAACTGAGACATTTTCATGGCCTGGTAGCGTGACGACTTTTCTGTGTGTTCCAGGATGGCAATAACAACAAGCTGGAGGAGTGGCTTGCAGTGGAGAGTATGTCAGGTAGGAACTTGCTTTATACACATGGTTAAACCTTCATATGTCACACTGAAGGCCCAGGTTTGATTCCCCACATGGGTACGTGTGATGCATGTGTCACCCTATCCCCTGCTGGGATATTGATAAAAGTGGCATATAACCTACCTACCACACTCACTCACTCTACCTCACTCACTCACTCTACCTCACTCACTCACTCACTCACTCACTCACTCACTCACTCACTCACTCACTCACTCACTCACTCACTCACTCACTCACTCACTCACTCACTCACCCACCCACCCACCCACTCACTCACTCACTCAGTGAAGTAAGACCCTGTTAATCAGTGAATTGTCTGGAGTCATGAATCATGTTGCAATGTCCCCTTAACTGTATATTAACGTCCAGAAGACAGGGTCTGTAATCTTGAACCTAGAATTATTGAACAAACATAGTTTCACGCGAGGGGAGATAGCTGTAGAGGATTGTACAACCAGTAACGATCAGCACAGAAAACACTACATTCGTGCAAGATTTGAATCCAGGCACGCACCATCCTGAGGCTATGCCTTGCCACAAAAGATCTGAAAATGACACCACATCAAACTATTTCAGGTGTTATCGAGAAGTCCTATGAGCTGTCTGACCAGCCCCCTCTTGGGAAATGGAAGATCATGGCCAGGAATGAGGTGCAGTAATTTTAGTTTCTTATGCGCGATATATCATGAATTTATCATTATCAGAACTTGAGTAGGAAAAAATGTTATCCTTTAATACTATGTGTATACTTTTGCCCAGTCATCTAAGGCACCGCAATTCGCTGTGCAGAGTTAAGTCCCTTGGGCACGCCAGAAACCTATGATTGTGGGTTCGAATCCCGGTTCACCCTGATTATGTTTCTAGTTTTGTCAGCACCATACCCGTGCTCGTGGGTTTCACCGAAGTGGTAAACGTCTTAGGCCTGCATAAGTTCGGGCTTTCCTCCCACATTAAGCTGACACACCGTGATATAACTGGAATACTGTTAAAAGCGGCGTTAAACCAAACCCACTCACTCACTCACTCACTTATTCAGCAGATATTGTCCAATCTTCATGCTGGCGTGATTTCTTACAAGCCCTGCAAGCATCTTGCTGCAGATTGCTGTCACACGATTCATTCTAAAACTGAAAGATGTGATAAAGTCATATTTGGTTATACAGTTTAGCTTATGATTATTTCAGATAGCCTTATAATAACCTCGATGAGTCTTGTCTTACTGTGTGATTTATTTCTAGTTTGGAGAAAACACAAAGGAATTCACAGTGGAGAAGTATGGTAAGTAATTTACATTTTCATAAATTTCTCTTGATATCGAAATTGATGAAAAGGAAGAAAGTTTAGTTTCTGTGTTTGTAGGTTTCTGAACTGTATGACATGGATTTTATTTAAACAGATGTATACAGATAAATGTAGGCATTAAATTACAATCTTTGAGGCATGTTTTCACAGAACTGTCATAGAGCTGACATTTGATTCTTATTTGTCCTTCATACTTTGCTTGGATTGGATTCATGAGATCAGTTAACATGGAGTGGCCACAGTGGGTGTCTTTTGTACTCAGCTATTTGGGAAGAAGTTTCCTCCATGCTTGTCTCATCTTGATATTCATGGACAGAATAGGTCCTCAGCACTCCATGCTTGTCTTATCTTGAGATTCCTGGACAGAATAGGTCCCCAGCACCCCATGCCAGTCTCATCTTGAGATTCCTGGACAGAATAGGTCCCCAGCACTCCATGCCTGTCTCATCTTGAGATTCCTGGACAGAATAGGTCCCCAGGACTCCATGCCTGTCTCATCTTGAGATTCCTGGACAGAATAGGTCCCCAGCACTCCACGCCTGTCTCATCTTGAGATTCCTGGACAGAATAGGTCCCCAGCACTCCATGCCTGTCTCATCTTGACATTCATTGACAGAATAGGTCCTCAGCACTCCATATTTGTCTCATCTTGTGATTCGTGGACAGAATAGGTCCCCAGCACTCCACGCCTGTCTCACCTTGAGATTCCTGGACAGAATAGGTCCCCAGCACTCCACGCCTGTCTCATCTTGAGATTCCTGGACAGAATAGGTCCCCAGCACTCCACGCCAGTCTCATCTTGAGATTCCTGGACAGAATAGGTCCCCAGCACTCCATGCCTGTCTCATCTTGAGATTCCTGGACAGAATAGGTCCCCAGCACTCCATGCCAGTCTCATCTTGAGATTCCTGGACAGAATAGGTCCCCAGCACTCCATGCCTGTCTCATCTTGCGATTCCTGGATAGAATAGGTCCCCAGCACTCCATGCTTGTCTTATCTTGAGATTCCTAGACAGAATAGGTCCCCAGCACTCCATGCTTGTCTCATCTTGAGATTCCTGGACAGAATAGGTCCCCAGCACTCCATGCCTGTCTCATCTTGAGATTCCTGGACAGAATAGGTCCCCAGCACTCCATGCCTGTCTCATCTTGAGATTCCTTGACAGAATAGGTCCCCAGCACTCCATGCCAGTCTCATCTTGAGATTCCTGGACAGAATAGGTCCCCAGCACTCCATGCCTGTCTCATCTTGAGATTCCTGGACAGAATAGGTCCCCAGCACTCCATGCTTGTCTTATCTTGAGATTCCTGGACAGAATAGGTCCCCAGCACTCCATGCCTGTCTCATCTTGAGATTCCTGGACAGAATAGGTCCCCAGCACTCCATGCCTGTCTCATCTTGAGATTCCTTGACAGAATAGGTCCCCAGCACTCCATGCCAGTCTCATCTTGAGATTCCTGGACAGAATAGGTCCCCAGCACTCCATGCCTGTCTCATCTTGAGATTCCTGGACAGAATAGGTCCCCAGCACTCCATGCTTGTCTTATCTTGAGATTCCTGGACAGAATAGGTCCCCAGCACTCCATGCCTGTCTCATCTTGTGATTCGTGGACAGAATAGATCCCCAACACTCCATGCCTGTCTCACCTTGAGATTCCTAGCCCTCATGCACCCACCCACTCATTCACGCCTTCCCCAAAGTGCGTCCTACCCACCCATTTATTTCCTTACACTGAGCACTGCACACTTGATGCTTGCAGTGCTGCCCAAGTTTGAAGTGAGTGTGGAGGCTCTTCCAGACTACATTGTGAACGGGGAAACAACAGAGTTCAACCTCAAGGTCACATCCAAGTGAGTCTTGCCATAACATTTCTACTTAAAGGATAGAATATATAAAGCTCAATAAATCACTGCATTCTCTTTCTAAAATTATACAGACATTCCTTTTGTTTTTGTTTGTTTGTTTAACGCCGCACTCAGCAATATTCCAGCTATATGCATAGCTGTCAACCCCAGGATGTCTAAATGAGTGAGAAGCCAGGATGCAGGAGCTGCAAGCCCCACTGGGTCCAGGGCTAAGCCCTGGGGGTGGGGGGGGAACTGGTTTTGAGTGATTTTTCTCGCCGTGTTGGTTGCAATGGCGATAAATCGAAAGAGAAAAGCATTTCAAAATATTTTTATCTACATTTTATATGAATGCGTGAGAATTTCTCAACCTTGCGTGTGAGCGTGACATAGGTGATAAATGTGTGAGACTCACCCATGAGAGTTGACAGATATGTATATGACGACGGGTCTGTAAATAATCGAGTCTGGACCAGACAGTCCAGTGATTGACATCATGAGCATCGATCCACGCAGTTGGGATACAGCGACATGCATCAACCAAGTCAGCGAGCCTGACCACCCGATCCTATTAGTCGCCTCTTACGACAAGCAGTCACCTCATTCCTTTACTATGTGACATTTAACGTTTAGCTGCATATATTTACCATAGAAATAGAAACGGCTATGTTGATGTTGGCTGGGATGGTTCCGTACTTCGTGCTTCACGTGCGCAATCATTCACCTTACTTTTCAGGTACACTTATGGCAAGCCTGTGAACGGCAAGGCCACCTTCATCTTCGGTGATGGGCAGGTTGTCAAGGAGACCACAGTAAGTGTTTAAACGTCACAACTTTTGAAAAAAGAAAAGAAAAAAAGGCAGTAGTAAATCTCATTAAAAACAGATAATCCATTTCTCTGATATTATACCACTGGGTGCATTTTTTCTGTATTTAGTCCATGGCCTAATTTGGGATGGCATTTTCAGTCCTGTGAAGTTTTTGATAGACATTCAGAAGTTGGAAGAACATGAATACATGACACGTTTTTATGGATAGCAACTTCTTTTATTCTTTGTACGACATTTCAGAGCCACTTCTTGCTCCTTCATCAGACGAATGGTGAGGATGTTCACCTGATGAAGGTGCAAGAAGTAGCTCTGAAACGTCTACAAAGAATAAATGAAGTTGCTATCCATAAAAACGTGTCAAGTATTCATGTTCACTCCTAGTATGTGCCCAGCCGTTAGACCCTTGGCTTACATATGTGCAGACCCAGTTGCTGTTAGGCATGGTGAGCTGATACATTGATTCAACTAATGCTAGGAAATCTGGAGGGTAGGTCTTGTCGGCATACAATAGTACTGCAGTAGTGTTTGATTGTTAATACCATTGCTGTTGTTACAATGTCTCCAATAGTCACATAGTAGTCACAATTCCTGTGCATAGTTACATCCCGTAGATGTGTCAGGATGTGAATCTCACATATGGTCTGATTAATATCATTTGTATGTTGGCTCCATACAGAGCTCTAGAGTTTAGCGATAAGGTCTGCATCACTTGGGTTTTTCTCCTCCATAAATTTTAAAGATAAACCCAACTCACTCACTCACTCATGATCGTCACTCTCTCACATACACTGTGCTGCAGTTGAACACTGGTGAAGACGGGGTGCACACCGAGAAGGTCATGATGAAAGAAGTAGCAACAGCCAAAACTTACCGCAGTCTGAAGGTGGTGGTTAACGTGACGGAGGAACCGGCTATGGTAACGGAGGCCTCCAACCAGCTGGAGATCCCTGTGTACAACCAGCGCATCAAGATGGAGTTCCTTCCCAGCTCCTCCCAGGTCTACCGGTCAGGTCTGCCCGTGCAACTCCAGGTAAGCTCACATGACAGGGGCGGTGGGGTAGCCTAGTGGTTAAAGCATTCGCTCATCACGCTGAAGACCTGGGTTCGATTCCCCACATGTGTGAACCCCCGTTTTGGTATTGCTGGAATAGTGCTAAAAGTGGCGTTAAGCCATACTGACTCATATGACATTAATGGATTATGTACAGCAAAAAGCACTCCCCTAGGTTTTGGTTGAAAATGTAAAACCGCGAGCGAGGGAAAACCAGAGGGCCAAATGGCCGATGGCTTTTCCTGAGATCAAGGTTTTACATTTTCAACCAAAACCTCAGAGGCATACATACATTGACATACCTTATAGTGAATCAATCACGGTATAAAAGGAATTTGCTCAAAGCATGCGAGAGTAAAACCATGTGCAAGCTTGGACTAGCTGGAGTCATGGCATGATAAACTGAACAACTTCTCATCACCTGCCCCGGTAGTTCAGTGGGAAAACAGTGGGTTACAAAACTTAACAGGATATATGTGAGGTTGTATGTTCAATTGACTTCATGGAATTCTCATTGTTAAAAACAATTGTGACATTTAACCAATCATCAAACACAATTGTATTCACATCAAGAGTCAATTTAATGAAACATTAATTGTAAAACCTGGGTATTAGGGCAGGGACAAGTCCAAATTTACTACCCGGGTACCCACCCCCCTATTACCCGACCCTATCCGGGTACCCACCCTAGGTCTCAGGAGATGTCTCAAAATGTCTGATTGGGAACATTTTTAGCATAGCCCTGGCAAAACGTATTGATATACACGTATTAAACAATCTGGTCATTCATACACTGACGTTGAATTAAGTTATATCTTTATTCAACCATATGAAAAATCAGAAGGAATGAGTGCATAGTCAGAAAGAAATGCGAACATTAGTGACTTGAAGTGTAGCCATAGAGTTCTAGATAATTTTTGTCATTAAACAATATATCACGTGACTAACCACGGGTCCGGTTAGTCCTGTGGGTACCCGGGTCCTACTCAGTACCCACCCGACCCAGGTACCCAAGTTACCCGTCCCAGCCCTACGGGGTATTACAGTTGAAATGTATTCATCAGGTCCCCTGGCATTCCACAGGAACACCCCGGGCATTGTTGATAGCCTTGTAAGTTTATCAACATTTAGAAGAACCTTCTGTTCCTGTTGTGTGACGTGACGTCATCAGAGGTTTATAAGTAATGGAGAAATCACTCGAAGCCCCGACTTAAGCCATGCTGGTTGATGTATAATATTTCTTTGATTTTGAATAATGACCTATGGTTGCATCAGTTTTACTTGTATAAAATGCATGTTCAGAATGGCCGGTGAATTCGTGGCTGAGTCATCAACATCAACAATAGTGTAATGGCATCTTAATGGTTTATGCCTCTTTTGACACTTTCTCAAAGTTCATACATATATTTTTCAAAAAACATTTATTTTCACAGGTTCATGCTTGGATTTATCTAGGCAATTTCAGAGACAAATATTCAGCTTCAGGTTATGCAAAGTATTATTTGTGTTTCACAATAGAAATAATTTTACCTTATCCTGACTCTCATTAATTATCTCATCTCATTCTGAAAAGTTAGTGGAAACTTCCTGTTCTGTGTTCCCAGAGAACAGAAAAAACATCCCACCAGAATGCTCCCCTGAGCCGCACATGTGACCAAGCCAGTGGACACATCCCTCACTCCAACTGAGTAGTTAAAGTTTTTTGGTGCTCAGTAATCCAAGCCATCCTAACAAAATTAACCATTTTCAATAAAAAAAATTGTTCGGGTAACATTCTTCTAACATTTATGTATCTTATCTAATGATTATTTTTTTAAGCTAGGATCTTATTGAATACTAAAGTAGTCACTCAAAACTGTTGAACGCCCAGATGGCCCAGTGCCATAAATCACCTTGATGAGTTATGTCCCTTAGTCATGTCAGGATCTACTGATTGTTGAGTCAAGTGGCCTTTGGTCAGTCAATACCATGCCCTGCTCATGGGTTTCACCAAAGCGAGTGTCTTCCAGTATTAACCTTGATTTTCCTTCGACACTTCCCTGATAGTGACTGAAGTCCTGTTCAAAGTGAAATTCAGCCTAATTCTTCCATGAATTTGCAAAATTCTCAATTCTGATTGGTCAATCAGAGGTTTCAAATCACAATAACCACCTCTGATTGAAACAGCAGATGAATCCTCATGCTGTGAGTTCAATTCCAATTTCAATTTGCACCGTGCACAGGTATGTTTATCTCCTGACTCGCTCTCTAAAAGACCTGTGAAGATCCGGGGTAGAATAGGTCTTCGGCAACACATGCTGGTCGTAAAAGGCTACTAATGGGATTTGCTGGTCAGGCTCGCCGACTTGGTTGATGCATGTCATCATATCCCAATTGTGTGGATTGATGCTCATGATGTCAATAACTTGATTGTCTGGTCCAGACTCGATTATTTAGAGACTGCCAGAATATAGTTCAGTGAGGAGTCAACAAAAACACTCTCTGAGAGCTAAAAACTGTTTCCCCACAAAGGTAATGGCCCTGAGGTGGGCACAGTAAGGTAATGTAGTATCGACACCAAAGTTCTGTGGGAATATACCTAACATACTTAAGTAGTTGAGGGGCACGGGTGGCCTAGTCGTCTAAGGCACCACAATTCGCTATGCAGAGTTGCATCCCTTGTGCATGCCAGGAACCTATGATTTGGGTGGATTCAAATCACAGTTCACCCAGGTCTTTACCAAAGCTGTAAACGTCTGAGACCTTCATCACTTCAGACCTTTCTCCTAGTAGGCTCACACATCATGGGATTACTGGAATACTGTTCTTAGCAGCTTCAAACCCAACACTCTCACGCTCACTTAAGTAGTTGGGTTTCAGAATATATTTGACAAACATGGAATGATGGCTTCGAAGCCTTAGTGTTCAGTTCCTTCTATCAGACATGTTTCTTTGTTTTTCAAGTCAATTATTGGAATGGATTTTGGTTCCAGCTCAAGGTGACTAATCTTGTGGACAAGACTCCAGCTCATGTTGGAAAACAGCTCGAAGTGTCTGCATATTTGACAGAGAACGTGAAGAAAACCCTTACCATTGACACCCAAGGAATGGTCACCACAGATTTCGACATTCCTGCCAAGTTTGATCGCGATATTTATTTCTCGGTATGTAAACCCAACTATGCATGATCTTTTCCTGGATGTAACCTGTTTTTGTGTCTCTAAATATAGCCCACAGAATTCTGGTTGGACATGAAAGTGGCCGCCATATTAATAATTTAAGTTTTGCCACTTGGTGTGAAATTTGATGTATGTTAAGATGTGGAACGCCTAATAACAAGAGTGCCTCATTGGTGCTCTGGATAGAGCATCTGCCCGGAGATAGAAGGTGGGTGACTGTGTCTTAGTGGGGTATGTTAAACTGTAGCATGGTATCTCAGTGGCCAAGCACTATAAGACCATCGGGACATGTACAACAGCCACATGCATATATTCATGTCGCAATGTAAGGGAAAAAATTTGAATGCAGCGTTAAACCCAGAAAAACAAATGTTGTGTTTTGTGGTGATATCATTTATATGTGAAATTGGTTTGTACTGCCATGAGATTGTAGGGTCAGTAGGATTCTGTCCTTGTTACTCTCTGACACAACTAATGGTGCAAATATTTGAGGCGAGAAAGTAAGGGGAGATAGAAAATCTGGCACTCCATTGTTTCATCAACTATCCTACATCTATTACATGATATCCATAAATACAGGATTTGGCTGTCATCACATTATAAAACAAAGCTCTCATCAGTGTCAACTGACCATACCTATAGTCCTCGCCACTTGGAAACAAATCATGAAATATTGTGATGATTAATTAACGAAGATAGCTGCATGTGTGCTAATCAGGAAATACAAGAGCCTGGCACTAATGTAATAGGCAAAATAGGTAGTTTTCTTTGAATTATTAGAAATAATTATTGGTTAATATAGACATGTTGAACACTTTTACCATTTTCTGTTTTTTCTCTCTAGGCTTCGATTGTTGGTGAGAGTAGGATGAGCGCCTCTCACCACGTTGAAGCTTACAGAACCAAGCTGAACACGGTCCTGTCTGTAGAAGTGTCAACTGATCAGGTAACTAGATACAATTTCTCTGGTCGGCTGGAGACACGGGGAACACAGTTGTCTGAGGTGCCGCAGTTCCAGATAGTTCTGGGTTCGAACCCCAGATGCCCCGTTATTGTTTCTGCTTCTGTCAGCACCATATTCATGTCCTTGGGTTTCATCAAACTCACTCACTCACTCCTTGTGGTTAAAGCGTTCGCTTGTCATGCCAAAGACCCAGGTTTGATTCCCAACATAAGTACAATGTGTAAAGCCCTTTTCTGGTGTCCCCCGCCCTGATATTGCTGGAATAATGCTAAAAGTGTCATAAAATCAAACTCACTCACTCATAATTCGACTTGGTCATGCAGATGCAAGGCACAGGCGTTATTTGTTTTTGTTTTGAGAAAGTTCTGAGTAATGAAAGATGTAAACAAACGTATAAGAGAAACCTTATTTTTGACTCACACATGTATTATGATATGTGTATACAAAATACATAAATAATTATGAAAATATTTTTTAAACATTCTTAACTGTAAATTATTACACAAAACATATTTTTGTTATTTAGCACAATCATAGAAGGGCGACACTCTCTGTCTTTGACTTGACTACTTGCCGTAGAGCACTTACGCTCCTCGCCTGCAGCCACTAGGAAGTGAATATTGGGATTCACGTAATAAATCTGGGATTCGCGAATGGAACATTGTAAAAAACCTACAACTGTATGGAGAACAACTTTGGTTTCTTGCATTTGGTGATGATGCGATATGGATTCTTTCACTGTTATCAAGGAAGTTGGTGTCCTTAAAGTTGTATGTTTTCTTATTTATTCACCAACTTCTAAAATGCCAGTCAAACAATTGGAACTTTGTATGATTAACTCAATGAAACGAAATTACAGATGCTTTTTATTGGGCTCATGGAGGGTTTTGGAATACATTCTTGCACACTTCTTAGAAACTTAATATCACAGCTGGAATACTGATTTTGACATAATTGAAATTGTAAACAAGAAAGATGGTTCTGTTGGAGAGTAGGAAAGTTCAAAATGATCATTGTTTTTTGTTTTTCGTCTAAGGCAATCATCACTTAGGGTTTAAGTGACATGTGCATTATAACTGAGATACTATTCACAACTGTTTCTGATTTGGCTTATGACCCCAACAACCTATGCTTGTCATACATAGGAGGAGACTCAGTAGATCATGTGGTCAGCTCAGTGACACAATTCAAAACTCTTTCTGGGTTTGGACCCGTGAAGATCCAGAGTAGAATAGTTCTTCAGCAACCCATGCTTGCCGCAAGAGGCGATATATGGGATCGGGTGGTCTGGATCACTGACTTGGTTGATGCATGTTATCATATCCCATTTGGGTGGATCGATGCTCATGATGTCAATAACTGGATTGTCTGGTTATTCACAGACAGACAGACGTCATATAGCTGGGATGTTGTTGAGTGTGACGTTAAACAAAGAAAACTACCAACTTTCTGGGTTAGAATATGACTCCAACAAGCCATTGCTGCTCAGGACCAGTCACTTCCCAATCGAAACCGTAAATGTGTGATTTTGCATCAAAACAAAATTATAAAATGTAGATTATGCAATGAATTTAATGAGACTTTCCAACACATTGTCAGTGGATGCCCAGCTTTGGTACAAACACAGCATCTTCAGCGACATGATGGCGTGGCTCGATCCTTTTATTACTGTCTTCGCCATGCTTGTGGTTTTGACACAGAGGTCCATCCATGGTACAACCCAGAATATGTTGAAGGCGTCACGGAAAATGATCAATACAAAATTCTTTGGAATAGGCCCATTTACAGCTTCAGATGTATCCAGGCCAACAAACTGATCTTGTCCGTTTTGATAAATCCAATGAAATCATTGAAATTATTGAATTTTCTGTACCTTTTGACACTTATGTGATTAAAAGATACAGAAAAACATGGCAAATATGCAGACCTCGCTTTTCAAATGTCACTCTTGCATCCCAAGTACTAAGTTGTCCGACTCAAAATTGTTCTCTGTGCCTTAGGTTTATTACGTCCCAATCTGTTACCTGACAATGGGAGAGTACCCGAGTTTGCTGTCAGGAATACAGCCCTTCTGACAATCTGGGTAATGCAGAAGGCTGCAGTGTTGGGGAGTCTTCACATTCTCCGAAAAGTCCTGGGTTTGGTTGGGCAACACTCCCATGCATTGTCTGGGCTGCGTGTAGAGGGGGCAAGGGCCCTGAGCTGATTTAAGCCTAACCAGCCTGACTGTGTCATGATCACCCAAACCCCTTTGCTGCATTTTGTATTTTAATCTGATAATAATAATAATAATAATAATATTAATAATAATAATAATAATAATGGTTTCACTGGATCGTCAGTGATCCCTGGAATATTGCTGAGAGTGTCATTAAACAACAAACAAATATTTTCTATTCCAGGCAATTGAGGCTGGCGCTGACTTTGACATTTCTATCAAGTCCACAGGCACACTGAGACATGTGGCCTACATGGTGAGTAGATGTATGTTGCAGTGAATCTCGGGTATAATGGGCATGGTATATTTCCCGTATCCCACAATGGTCATTGTAGCAACCAGTATTGAATACAGAACTATTTGTATGGAGGAATGTGGCTATTTAATAAGTTCTCATCTGTGTCTGACAATAGAGGTAGCTGTTGAACAAGTAACATTATGTTGTAACATGTGTTAGACAAGGGTGTGGTCACTTTGTTAGACAAGGGTGTGGTCACATTGCTAGATGTGTTAGACATGGATGTGGTCACATTGCGAGATGTGTTAGACAAGGGTGTGGTCACATTCCTAGATGTGTTAGACAAGGATGTGGTCACATTGCTAAATGTGTTAGACAAGGTAGTGGTCACATTGTGAAAGTGTGAGACAAGGGTGTGGTCACATTGCTAGATGTGTTAGACATGGGTGTGGTCACATTGCTAGATGTGTTAGACAAGGGTGTGGTCACATTGCTAGATGTGTTAGACAAGGGTGTGGTCACATTCCTAGATGTGTTAGACAAGGATGTGGTCACATTGCTAAATGTGTTAGACAAGGGTGTGGTCACATTGCTAGATGTGTTAGACAAGGGTGTGGTCACATTGCTAGATGTGTTAGACAAGGGTGTGGTCACATTGCTAGATGTGTTAGACATGGGTGTGCTCACATTGCTAGATGTGTTAGACAAGGGTGTGGTCACATTGCTAGATGTGTTAGACAAGGGTGTGGTCACATTGCTAGATGTGTTAGACATGGGTGTGCTCACATTGCTAGATGTGTTAGACAAGGGGTGTGGTCACATTGCTAGGTGTGTTAGACATTGGTGTGGTCACATTGTTAGACATGGGTGTGGTCACATTGCTAGATGTGTTAGACATTGGTGTGGTCACATTGTTAGACATGGGTGTGGTCACATTGCTAGGTGTGTTAGACAACTGTGTGTTCACATTGTTAGTGTTACATATAGTGATGCATTTTCATGGTTCCATGCTAGTTATAAATATCAATCTGTGATAAGTCTAGTTATTTTACTGTCTTGTTGACAGGCTTTTATTGTTTACATGTATTTATGATACATAACCTTTGAAAGTCAAGATAGGTCTGAAATACTGCTGCCGTGACTTTCAATTTTAACTCACTCTTTCACTCTCACTCCTCCATGTACATTGTACCTGTCATCTATAAGTTACAAAATGTTTGCAGGTGCTTGCTCGAGGTGTCATAGTTGATGGCGGCAAGGTGGACATGACTGGGATGACCATTCAACACACCCTCACGGCCACTAGACTCATGGCACCGATGGCCAAGGTCATTGTGTATGGTGTTGTCGACAATGGGACAATGTCAGAGGTCATAGCTGATTCCAAAGACATTGAAGTGTTTAGCGTCTTTGATAATGAGGTGAGCATTTATTGAAAGTATTACAGTTACAAATGATATGTTTAGTGGTAATGTATGTGTTGTAACAGAGTTGTATCTGAGAGATACTACTTACAATACGACTAATTCAAACAGGGCCTCAAGTCTCACAAACACACACTTGTGCAGACAGCATTCACTGATGTGTTGATGTTAAGCAAAGTCACGCAGAATGATAACGGCGGTTGGGTAGCCTAGTGGTTAAAGCATTCGCTTGTCAGGCAAGCAGCCTTGGATACAATTTCTGATGGCCATTTCTGGTGTCCCCCCACCATGATATTGCTGGAATATTGCTAAAAGCGGCATAAAAGCATACTCCCTCAAACAACTTTCGAGCGAGGGTTGTTGAATTCTTTGTAGAAAGAGCATGTTTGATTGCACTTTAATATGTGAAATGTAAACAGCAAAGGCTGGATCTGCTGTATTGTGATTGATCATTTAAAAATGGCTTCCACAGGAGATATCTCCTAGGTGATGAAATAGCAGGACAATGCACAAGTAGATAAAGGTTTAAAAACTCAAAGCCTTGCCTATATATATGTATAATGACCTCTATATGTATAATGACCTCTATTTGTATTGTCACCTCTATATGTATCATGACCTCTATATGTATAATGACCTCTATACATATCATGACCTCTATATGTATAATGACCTCTATATGTATCATGACCTCCATATGTGTAATGTCCTCTATATGTATCATGACCTCTGTTCATATCAACTCAATACATATCATGACCTCTATATGTATAATGACCTCTATACATATCATGACCTCCATATGTATAATGACCTCTATATGTATCATGACCTCTGTTCATATCAACTCAATACATATCATGACCTCTATATGTATAATGACCTCTATACATATCATGACCTCCATATGTATAATGACCTCTATATGTATCATGACCTCCATATGTATCATCACCTCTATACATATCATCACCTCTATACATATCATCACCTCTATATGTATCATCACCTCTATATGTATAATGACCTCTATACATATCATGACCTCTGTATCATGACCTCCATATGTATCATGACCTCTATTCATATCATGACCTCCATATGTATCATGACCTCTATTCATATCATGACCTCTGTACATATAATGACCTCTATACACATAATGACCTCTATTCATATAATGACCTCTATACATATAATGACCATTATACATATCATGACCTCCATATGTATCATGACCTCTATTCATATCATGACCTCTTTGTGTCATGACCTTTATACATATCATGACCTCTATATGTACAGTGACGTCTATACATATCATAACCTTCATATTTTTCATGACCTCTATACATATCATGACCTCCATATATATAATGACCTCTCTACATAGCATGACCTCTGTATGTATCATGATCTCTATATGTACAATGACCACTATACATATCATAACCTCCATATGTATAATGACCTCTGTATGTATAATGACGTCTGTATGTATCATGACCTCTGTATGTTTCATGACCTCTGTATGTATCATGACCTCTGTATGTATCATGACCTCTGTATGTATAATGACCTCCATATGTATAATGACCTCTGTATGTATCATGACCTCTGTATGTATCATGACCTCTGTATGTATCATGACCTCCATATGTATAATGACATTTGTATGTATAATGATGTCTGTATGTATCATGACCTCTGTATGTATCATGACCTCTGTATGTATCATGACCTGTGTACATATCATGACCTCTTTACATATCATGACCTCCATATATATAATGACCTCTCTACATAGCATGACCTCTGTATGTATCATGACCTCTGTATGTATCATGACCTCTGTATGTATCATGACCTCTACTTACTGTTTCAGGTACAACTGCGGTTCTCCGCTGAAGAGAAGAGAGCTGGTACAACTGTTGATCTGACCATCTCCTCTGCCCCCAACAGTATATACTACCTTCTGGCAGTGGACAAGAGTGTCCTCCTCCTGGGTACTGGCAATGACATCACGCAGAGTGACGTGAGTAACTGTCTGTAGAACATCAACAAGAGGGACATGGATTTGGAGGATTTTTGTTGTCAATTTAACAGCAGATTGATATTGTGAAGACCTTAGGTCCAGTGATTAAATACCTGTGAATGATAGCCATGTATCAGAAATATAGGGCTGGGAGACTCATTTTGTTCAAATTGAAGGACGTTTGTTTTTTTAAGGCAGTATGAACAGTTTTGTGGTCTGCATGATCTGCATGGTCTTTTCTTTTCTCAGATTCTTAAATTCTCCCAAACTGTAAAAAACAAACAATTAATGTCATTTTTATTTTGCTACATGAGAGCTCACGACTGCTGGAACCTGATGCTGGTATTTTTAAAAAGTCGTCCATCTTCGAACAAATTGCATTTACTTTCATGACGAGCATTTGGAGTCATACATAAAGATGTAGAGTGTTCCTATGAAACTGCTGACAATTTGCTGTGAATGGTTGGTTGGGTTATTCCCTAGAGCAAGCATATGCTTACATTTGCATGAGAATATAAATAAGTAAACAAATGATAGAAATTGAAAATATCAAAATCAAAGCAAACTATTACTGATGTGTGTGTTTTGTAAAGACATTTGAAATATATTTTTTCAGGTTAAAGGACAAATTAATCCAATGAAGGACATGCAAATGAATCCATTTATCACTGCTTTGTTGGTATGGGACTGACTATCACAGGTGTGGCATGACAGGACTTTCATATTCTCTGAACAGGTGGTCGATGGTATTCGCAAGTTCAGCCTGGAGGAGTCGCGCAGTTTGAACACAGAGGAGCCCCATTTGATGGGTGATGTGATAATGCCCCGGGGGGGAGGGGACTCGGACCTACCCACCAGTGCTGGCGAAGTGCTCAAGGTCAGTGCTGATGTTCTGAGATTAATTAATAGTCTTGTACTTGAAGACGGCTAGACTCAGGTGAAATTGTAGTCTCAGCAATATTGAATCCAAGACGGTGAAATTAATATCCAAATATGCATCTGTTGTTTGAGACTAGAAGAGTGATGCTATGTCATCATGGGGGATTCAGATTGTCAGTATTATCAAATCATCCTATGCTTGTTGAGGCTTAAAAAGATTAATGATTTGGTTCTCAGGCAATGGTTTTGAAAATGTAGTGCGGGTGGGCTTTGCTTTTTCTGAGATGCATCATAAAATTTGAATTGGCAGAAAAGCAAGTGGAGTGATTTGAGTAAGATTTGTTCAGACTGCCAATTGACCTGAGCTTAGTTGCCTTTAACTGTAATTCCTCTTGTGTGACTGTACGTGTATGTACAGTTTGTACCTATGCTACTAGAAATGTTCCAGTTGACCACAACCTATTGTTTGCAGACAAAATGCATTGTGGTGTGTGAGATATTTCTGTTAAATAGGAAATTATCAGGACCAGTAGTTAATCAAATTGACCATATGTGAAACATTGGCTGCTGTTTGTGTTTTCCAGAAATTCAGCCACCACTGCTCTTGCCATGTTTTGTTTTCTCCAACACGAGCTTGGCATACATACCTAATACATTTGGAAAGTTTTTTAAGAAATCTTCTGACAAAATTTTTTAAAAAAGGAATCAAGTTGAATATTAACAGTCATGACAAGCTTGGAGCTTTTGCATATGATGCAGACAGTTCTATTTGATACTTGTGGCTGTGAGGGATGTTTAACATCTTTCGACAACATCGCAGTTGTCAAAGCAGTAAGTTTGATGTGAATGGATTCCCAAAGCAAATATCTACCACCGTGGTAGAATTGCATGAGTTCAGAGAGGGTACAGCAATGACCTTGAAGCACCCTTGCAGCTAAGGGACATAACTGATGAGCCCTTCATCATGTTCTGTGTAACATTTCTTTGTTCGTGGCTCCTGTAGAAGCAAGGACTGATGTACATGACGGACGTAGTGGTAGAAGAGGAGGAGGCTCCAGTCCCCGATGTATATTACTATGATGACATGGATGGGGATGTGTTTGACGACTATATGAGTCTAGACAGTAAATCCTCTGCTTTTATCTATGAATGATGCAAAGAAGCAGCTGTTGCTGTAGCCACAAGAGTTGTAATGATATGCCATATTTTACCGTATAGCATACCATCCCTGAAAAGCATCACATGCCCTCCACGTGAAGCTTCAGACAAAAGATGAAATAACCGATCTGATTGGTTCCCCCAGGACCTTCAAACCTTGTAAAGATGAAGTACCTCAACCAGGTGATGCCAATGAAGGGTCCCAACTCTTATGGTTACATCTGTGTGTCTTATGCATTGTGATGCTGGTGACGCAGGTGATGCTTTGTGTTAATTACTCTGTGTTGTCCATGTTCTCTTTGTGACTGACCTGAGGAACCCTTTCCTTCAAGGATTTGTGAATTTTTTCTTCAGAAGAGGTGAGGTGAAATGGGGTTTAGTGTTGCGTCCAAGATTATTGCACTTGTTAAGCAGCTTGCATGCACATGTGTGTGTGTGTGGCTGCTTGTACTAGTCTGGACTGATGCACGCATATGCCAATTTATAGTGCTAGCCCACTGAGATACCATGCCGCAGTTTAACATGAATACCCCACTCAGACACAGTATACTGACTCCGAGCCAACCAGTCCTTGTTTTGCCAAGCGCCAGACAGGGTAACAACAAGTACCATCTTATAATGTCTTTTGGTATGACGCAGTCAGGGATCGAACCCCGTCTTCAGAAAAAACATTTTGTAGTGTGTTTCATTCCTGTTGTCTCTACCACTTTGACAAGTGTTACTTGTGGGTTGGATTTTAACTTCAGAATTTTTTTCATTGCAAAGTTGACCCACGGTAGAATAGGTCTTCAGCAACCCATGCTTGTCGTAAAAGGCTACTATGCTTGTCGTAAGAGGCGACTAACAGGATCGAGTGGTCAGGCTCGCTGACTTGGTTGATGCATGTCACCAATTGCGTGGATCGATGCTCATGATGTCAATCACTGGACTCGATTATTTACTGACCGCCATCATATAGCTGGAATGTTGCTGAGTGCGGAGTTAAACAACAAATAAACAAATCATTGCAAAGTTACAGTACAGGTGGTAGTTCCTTTATTACATTCTTATGAAATAAGTCTCACTGCTGTACCTTTATCAAACTATTTTGGATACCGGGGTAGAATAGGTCTTCAGCAACCCATGCTTACCATAAAAGGCAACTATGCTTGTCGTAAAAGGCGACTAACGGGATCGGGTGGTCAGGCTCGCTGACTTGGTTGATGCATGTCATTGATCCCAATTGCATGGATCGATGCTCATGATATCAATCACTTGATTGTCTGGTCCAGACTTGATTATTTACAGACCGCCTTCATATAGCTGGAATATTGCTGAGTGTGGCGTTAAACAACAAACCAACCAACCAACCAACCAACCAACCAAACTATTTTGACTGCGAGTACTCACCCACACAAGAGAATTCATAAAAATGCTAACAGGACTGGAAAACTTTTAAGGACCTCTCGGTTCTTTGATATTAATAAAGTAAAAGGAAGGAATATGGTGGTCCTTACCATTTCTGGAGTAGTATATGTAGGTGGATACGGATTACGTTACAAGATGAATCTTTGCCAAACGTGGTAGAGACACCAAAAAGCTCCAACAACTGCTGATGATGACACACTACTTACCAGTTCACTGTCAGAGCTTCAGGTAAATGGTCGCATCAAGTGTCACTCATTTAATACCAGTGGAAATGATGTGCAAGTCATGAGACAAGCATAGGAACCCAGAATTGGAGCATCATCTATGTTTTTGTTGACCCCTGGACCATTGGCTATCTTAATCACCTCAGCCTGAACTTCTGCAAAATCCATCAAGAACAATTTGTCAGGGTGCCTGCAGCAGTATGCCATTATCAGTCAGTATAGATCATTTGAAATAATTTCTGTTCATTTTATGTTGTCAACGATTGGGTCTGGTGTTTATGAGTGACATTATTGTGGAGAAAGCTGCACCGAAAATATGGCGCGATGACGTCGTGTTCGCAATGGCTGATGCTAATGTTAGGAGAGGTAATAGTGGCTTCTTGAACAGAAACATGGTGTTGAATCCTGGAGTCAAGAAATTTCACTGAATGTCAAAAGGGAGAAATTTGAAACAAATCTTTAGGGGGTTGGTTTCATTGCTGCAGAGACTAGTATTTTGTCAGCAACATTGGCACCATGCATATAGCCCGTGCTAGAGTCTGTCTCAGAGCTACAGATCAGTGTGAACGTCAGGTGTCTTCCATTACCAGTGAAAATGATGTGCAAGGATTGAGAGAAGCAGTAGAACCAAGAGACTCAGAAATGTATGTTTGTGTCAGGGATCAGTGACCCAGCTAGGTCCCCTCGCGATCTGATGGAGAGAGATTATTAAATGAGCATGCGTGTCATACTGATTTTATGAAACAAGTGTCAGAATGTTTGTATTTCCCAAACACCAGTGAGGGTAATATATAAATTCTTACACTACTTTCTAAAATCAGTATGACACACATGTGCAATAATTCCTTTATCATGCATCATTTCTTAATCCTTTTGAGGCGGGGTCGGGTAGCCTGGTGGTTAAAGTGTTCGCTCGTCACGCCGAAGACCTGGGTTCGATTCCCAACATGGGTACAATGTGTGTAGCCCATTTCTGGTGTCCCCTGCCGCCATATTGCTGGAATATTGCTAAAAGCAGCGTAAAACCATACTCACTCACTAATCCTTTTGATTTCCCGTTTAGAAAAATGCACAGATTACAACTGACGTCTTTTGTTGACAACTATTGTTGAATGACGTCAACAATCTTCTATCTTCAGCTACGTCGTTTCTAGTGTGAGGTCATTCCAACCTTATGCCACAATAAGATTTTGAATGACGTCAACAATACCATCTGCATGATGTAAACACTACACTGGTGCATGTGAAGTTGTGTTTGCACCAGTGTACATGCATACACTTTGTATGGTCTCTGTTATTTCTAACCATATAGGTAAGAAAATCTGTTCTGACCTCAGCTGGAATACCTCAAGAGCAACTGGTTGTGCAATCTTCAGTAGCATGTCCTAAGTCTGATGTCACTATAGATCATTTCTAGTCATGCCAGGTGTTTTCTGTTGTCTAGAAATTGGGTCTGGTGTTTATGACTGACATTGTTGTGGAAAAAGCGGAAGAAAAACATTTGATCATGTGGGCAATGGCTGCTCCGGTTGATGCCAATATAAGAAGAAAAGGTAATAATGGCTTCATAAACAGAAATCTGGTGTTGAATCCTGGAGTCAAGAAATGATCGCTGAATGTCAAAGGGAGAAATTTGCATGTGTACACTTTTTTGTTTGTTTCTGTAGTGACTAGATTTTCGCCATCAATATTAGCACCATGCATTTAACTCTTGGAAGGTATTTGGCCTTGATTTTTGTCTGGCCTTGCATTTGGAGATGGAGCCATGAAAATACTTTTAAAAGGCTTGAATCTTATGTACAAAGCCTGGTAAAGAGAAGTACTATGGAGTCTTGTATGTGTGTTATGTATTTGGCATGATGAATGGGACAGATGAAGTAGGATGGTGGTGGTGGAGGTGGAGGTGGAGGAAGAAGTGGCAAACTGGCAAGATGTGCTTCCCAGGATAAGTGGTAGTCATGCATGTACCGATCCAGTCAACTGTGATGATCATTACCAGTTACCAGTGAAATTGATGTGCAAGGATTGAGAGAAGCAGGAGAACCAGAGACTCAGAAATGGAGCATCGTGTATGTTTGTGTTCGGGATCAATGACCCAGGTCCCCTTGTGATCTGATGGATAGAGATTATTCTACGAGCATGCATGTACCATCGATTTTATGAAACTGGTGAGATGTACTTCCCAGGATAGGTGGTACAGTCATGTATCTATCTAGTCAACTGTAACAGTTTTAACAGTTCATTTTACATTTTTGAGTAAGAAATGCTGAATGTACACTAATAAAGTCAAGTACTAGGTCACATTGTGAAACTTCATGACCAGGTCTTAATGGTCAAAAACCTCCTTGCTCAGGTCTTGATGGTCAAGAGCCTCAGTGCTCATGTCTTTATGGCCAAGAGCCTCCTTACCCAAGTCTTAATGGTCAATAGCCTTCTTGCCTAGGTCTTAGTGGTCAAGGACCTTCTTGCCCAGGGCCCACTTGCACAAAGCCATCTTAGCACTAGGATGATCATAACTCCCATACTTTAACATAGGCTCATGATAGTCTTAGCGCTAAGATCGCTTAGTGCAAGTGCAAGAAGGTCTTTATGGTCAAGAGCCTCCTTGCCCAGGTCCGAATGGTCAAGAGCCTCCTTGCCCAGGTCCTAATGGTCAAGAGCCTCCTTGCCCAGGTCCTAATGGTCAAGAGCCTCCTTGCCCAGGTCCTAATGGTCAAGAGCCTCCTTGTTCAGGTCCTAATGGTCAAGAGCCTCCTTGCCCAGGTCCTAATGGTCAAGAGCCTCCTTGCCCAGGTTCTTAGAATAGGTCTTCAGCAACCCATGCTTGCCGTATGGCGACTATGCTGGTCGTAAAAGGCGACTATCAGGATTGGGTGGTCAGTCTCACTGACTTGGTTGATGCATGTCATTGATCCCAATTGCGTGGATCAATGCTCATGATATTAATCATTGGATTGTCTGGTCCAGACTCAATTATTTACAGACCGCCATCATATAGCTGGAATATTGCCGAGTGCGGCGTTAAACAACAAACCAACCAACCAACAACTGTTGGTTCTTTTGGTGGACTATTTGTCCATGTTTATCCAGTCCAAACACTCTTCAGGTTCTCCGTTTTCAGGACCTCGTTGTCCTTGTTTTGACCCTGCTTGTCGAGGCACAACTTCACTTTTTCCAGCTTGCCTGTGATGCAGGTGATCTTTGATAGAATGTTACTCAGTGTAGGTGAAACATCATTAGTTCTGCTGATCAGTATCATTAAGCTTCCAGGGCCCACTTGCACAAAGCCATCTTAGCGCTAAGATTATCATAAGCCTATGTTTAAGTATGGGAGT